TTGAAGAAGCGGTGGACGGAGGCGGAGAAGAATCTCACTGAGGAAGCCTCAAGATTCGCGGTCCATGTTATGAGTGGACAATGGGATTTCTTGCGAAGTAGGTCCACTTTCCGCCTTTGAGTGCAGAATCTGATCGTTTTCCCTAGGCGAGAAAGACGCCGAGTTCATTGAAGGAGTAACCAAGGAGGATGTCCTCAAGATGTTCCTCTCCGATGTGCACCCCGCCTCCAAGACGCGCGCCAAGCTCTCCGTCCACATGCGGTCGCAGAAGCCTCGTCAGCCCCGAGTCAGCTCTGCTGCCGCCGAGGCTTTTGCAGTGCTCGTGCGCGAAAAGGCTCTCGACGACGTGACGGAAGCTGCGTGGAACGACGCGCCGAGCGGGGATGAGCACCCGCCTTTGCCCGACTTTGAAAAATACTGGAGCGGTGTCCTCGGCGGCAAGGCGGGCGGCCAGGAGCTCCTCAACGCGATCCCTGACCTGGTCGTGAAGTACCCCATCCCCGGAGAGGGCGAAGACGCCCCTCGACCCGGTGTCACCTACATCACGGACGTCGAGGCGTTCAAGAAGGGCCTGGTGGTGTCGGTGGATCCGGGGCCGATGGTGCAGTGGGGCGATCTGCCCGTGTCTAAATTTTGAACAACCTCCGTCAAGTGCACTACTTACAATGGCTTGGATTTACATAGGATGTATCTAGTAATGTACACTGTAGCGATATGCAATCGAGCAAGTAGTATATTCCCTTCAGTCGTCCTCCCTTCCGTTCAGCGAATTCCCCTTACTTCCTAGGCCAAAAATGCAGCGAGATCCGAGCGGTTGAGGCTGTTCTGGTGGTACTGGAGGGAATGCGGCCCGAGGAAGCCTTCTGGGCGATTTCGCCATTTTGGGCGAGTTGTGGTTGTAGCAGGTTGTATGCTCGAGTAGACGTGCCAGGCTCTTGCCGCAACAAAAGACTTGTTGGTCTGCTAGCCCTTTCTTCTTCCACTTGTACTCTTCGGCACCCGACATATACCCAGGGGAACGCCCACCACGCGCAACACTAGGATTTCTGTACTCCACCTTGTACTTTTACTCGCGTTGCGGACGCGCCGACTCGGACGCGACCACCTACCACTAAGGCGGCATGCCTATCCCCACATCGCAGAGGCACAGTAGACCCAACAGCCCCCCGACAAACGCCACCAACGCCATGACGACCCCGCTCCGCCCGCGCGTCTCGTCCATCTTCGACACGCCGTCGTCAGGCACCGCATACACTCCTACAGTCACCCAGGGCGCGCAACCCCAGAAGCTCAATGTCGTGACGCGTGTGGCGATCGAGGGCAAGGCAAAGCACGGTGAGGATGGTGCTGCCATCAAAATGTACCTCAAGGTGCGCCGAATTTTTACCAGCTCCACTACCCCGCTTAATTCTTGCAGATTTCCCTGCCATTAGACAGCGTCGCTCCAGGAGCGACCATTCCGCTGTTTCCAGGTTAGCGCTTGTGATCTCACGCATCCGACGGTGCTGACTTGCGTACAGAGGAGAGCGTCAAAATTCTCTCCTCGCAGGTTCACCCGTTAGACAACAATTCTGTCCCATATGACTTTTCGTCCGACTTGTCGCCACTTCTACACCATGCCGCGCGGGCACTCAACCGTGAGTCGCGCACAAGCTGTCTTGCCACTTACATTAAGCCCTAGACAGTTCCCGGCCGCTCGTCAGAGTCCTACCACGGCGCATTTGGACTCTCGCCCCCCGCCACAAACGCCTCGGCCGCTGGCTCCGTTCGATCGAACAAGTCCAACGGGTCCTCTAGAAGTGCCACACCGCCCGTAGACACCAAATACACCGGCCACATCCTCGTCAGCGGCTACAACATCTCGTATGTGCTCCCCAAGGAGTTTCCCGCGCGGTACAACGACAGCGACGGCTACTCCCGAGCCTCGGGCAGCCTCCGGCGCTCGTCCATCATAGAACGCAACAGCGCGCAGTTCATGGCCGCCATCGACATGTGGGTGCCCTACGCCTCTCGCCCACCGCGGTCCCCGTATCTGGTCGGTCCCCCATCTAGTTCCCTCCCCAAACTGACTCCCCCGTAGATATCCATCCCCACCCCGCGGTGCCTGCACAACAACATCCGGCTCCGCATCTTCCCGCCGACGGCAGTGTCCGCCTCATTCGCGTCACTCTCGTCCGCGGACGAGGAGGGCGGCTCGTGGGACCTCACCTCGGACCCGCATGTTACGCGCGCGACGTCTTCGCGGCAGTCGCGCTCCGGCACGTATTCGTACGGCAACATCGCGGACGACGAGTCGAGCGATTCGTCCACCACAGGCTTCTCGGACGGCTGCGGGATACAGGGCACGTTCCCCAGCGCCGAGCGTATCCGGGTGCGGTGGGCGAAGCCGACGAAGGTCGTTGGCGGTGGTGGCGACGGGCGGCGGCGCGTCGGGGTGAAGGACGTCAAGGGGGAAATGACGTGCGCGGTGCTCGGCAAGATGTGGGATCCGGAGCACCAGCGGGACGGCACAATAATGCATGTGGAGTACAAGGGGACGTGCAAGGGCGTGTGGTTCCCCGGCGTCGCCACGATGCTCGGGATGGACGTCAGTCTGGAGGCCAAGGGCTCCGACGTGTCTTGGGTGCCGGGACAGTTGAGCAACTGGGAGGTTGGAGGTGGTGCTGGGTATACTGGGTTCGACGTTGGCGCGCCGCCCAAGCCTGACCCGCCATCGAGACACGATTCGTTGGATTCCAACTACTCTAACGGACCGCAAATCTTTCTCTCCGCGGAACGAGGCATGTCCCGGCAAAGTTCCGCCTCGTCGTCATCCTCTCTCCTGCGGGGACCTCTTCCTGTGCCCAACGTCCCCGAGTACTCGTTCGAAGGCTCCGCCACATCTTCGTCCGTCTCCGCCTCGCAAACCACCTCAATCGAGTCGTCCGTTGGCTCGCTCCTCCCGTCCTCCTCCACCTCGTTCGACCCGACGCCGCGCCCTCCCGGCGTGCCAGTGACAATACACGTGAACATGAACGAACTCTCGCTCCCCGCGGCAAAAAACTCGTTCCCGTTCTGGATATCGGGCACCGTGCTCATCACACCCCGGCCCCGGGCGGCTGCCGTTCCCCCTGCATCGCGCAGCGGCTCGCCCGTGCGCGGGGAGACTGAGCCCGATCCCCCCTCCGCCGTGGACCCCGACTCGATCATCATCCCGCGCTTCACCGTCCTCGCGGCGGACAACGAGACGGTCGCGGGCCGTCGTGCGCAACGACGTCGACGCGGGCGCGCCGTGCACCGTCGAGGTGCACAACAGCGGCGAGGCGTACCAGCGCGGGCCCGGCCAGAGCAAGACCGTGCTGCACCGCGGTGAGTTCGCAAAGTGCATGGAGCGCACGCGCATCGCGGTCAAGGCGGGCATCGTATTCTCGTCGGCGGGCACGGCCACGAATGGCGTCATGGGCGCGAACGGGAAGCTGGCCCCGCCGAGTCGCCCGCGGACGCCCGTCTCGCTCTCAGGCTCGCGCGAGCGCGTGCCGTCAACCGCGCGCGCGATGGCGCTCTTGGGGGTGGGCGCGCGCCCGAAGCGTGACGGCGCGCTGATGATCCCGAGCGTGAGCGCGACGGTGACGCCGCTCGTGTCTGCGCCCGACCGGCCCGCGGAGGCGCCCGCGGCATACGCCGTGCGCGTGTGCCTCGCCGCGCCCGCCGACGCCGAGTCGGATTGGCTCGAGTTCGGGCTGGCGAAGCACGCGGCGGGGGTGGCGGGCGGGGGCCCGCCGAAGGTGGATATTGTGAGCGTGAGCGTGGACGATGTGCCGGTGTTGTATGAGACGAGCGCGGCTGTGAAGCAGGAGGAGGCGGGCGTGGGGCTGCCGTTTGAGCAGATGAGCGGGCAGGAGTGGGTGAGCTGGGTGAAACTGCGGGTTGGGGCGGCGGGTGGTGGACGCGTCGTTGTTGATTACGTGGTCCAGGATGTTGGTGGTTACGTCGACAAAAAGGGGAAGCGGAAGGCAGACCAGACACAGTTCGATGTGTACTTACCGTCGTTCGGGATACCCGTGGGAAGGTTGGAGGTCACCATTGACGGGATTTCAGGTACGTCGGCCCTCAATTTTCATTCGCTGTGCCGTATCTGATCCCACTCTAGGTCTGGAAATTTCGTCTCTGCGATCCAACTTCTCCCACCATCAATCTGTGCGCTCCGGACGACGACTCCTGCATTATTCGTTGCAGGCGTTTTTCTACCCCCACATCTCGTTGACTATTCGTCTCGACCGCCGCCCGTCATATCCATTTTCACCGACCTCGAGCAGTTTCGGACAGATCATGATACTCCTTGTATCATGGGTGGCCCTTATTATCGGAACCGTATATATCGTTCGGCTGAATTCGGCGGTGCATGCGCTCTCGAATACACTCGAAGGATACTCCTTTGCTGTGAGCTCGGGGTGGATCGACTCCCCCAGGACTCCTCCCACCACAACCACGGCTCCCGCTTCCCAGCCCACTAGGTGGCCGTGGTTCAACAGCGACGCCAGATCGGAATTCTCCACATCGGAATCATCTGTATCTTTACAGCCGAGCCCGAGCATTACTGCTCCGGCCGCGGTCCCCTCCGCACCGACGCCCTCCGTTGTGGAGCCCCCGCCCATCTCTTCAACCCTCACCGCGGACTCGTCCACCTCGATCAGTCTCTTCCAGCCACTCCCCTTCAACCTGAGCTGGCCCGAGTGGCCCGAGGTCGACGTGGATCTGGTACTTGAAAAACTCTTGCGGGGCGCGGAGAAGCTTTGGCAGGTTTGTCGGAAAGTATACCACTATCCACTGGATCCTACTTGATATGACGACTTATAACGACTTTTTGATTTCTGGATGTAACGTATGCTTATGATCTATCTAATGGTGGGATTGTGTATTTCCCTGTGGGTTAATGGAGCCTTCACATCCTGCGAAGTGAGGCATTCAACTGAAGAGGAAGAAGCAAAGGGAAAAAAGAATAAAGAATAAATCAAAAGAATCGACACTGGCATGATTCGAACATGCGCCCTACAAGAGGAACAGATAAGATAAGTGAAAATTCGAATCTGTCGCGTTAACCACTCCGCCACAGTGCCATTAGGTATAGCGGACTCAAAATCGGATGACATCGTTCATACACACACGACCTATGTTGAAAGTGCTCTTTGGATATTCACAGTAAATGATTTTTTTTGATGTCCACCATGGCCCTCCGAAACTAATCTTCATTAGTTATCACCTGCCGCCGACCCTCGTACTCCCAGCGCGAAACATACGCGGGCGTCGATGCGTTCTGGCCATTTCCCGTCGCATACACGCCGAGAATGGTGCCTGCAACGCCAAAACATAAACATAAACGTATCGTCTGCGACGGCTGCACGACGCACCGGTGAACCCCCAGCTGACGTCCGCGCTGAGGCCATATCCCGCGAGGGTCATTCCTGCCGCGCCAGCCTGCGTGTAGCTGAACGTGTAGTGCGTCAGATTGTCCGCGCGGATCTCGAGCCGTGTCGTGCGCGGGTGCGGCAGCGGGACGATCGTGTCCGGGCGCACGACCGGCGCAGTGGTCGACGTCGTACGGATCCGCAGCACGGTCGAGTCCGCGCACGCCGCGCTCGAATTCGCGAGGCACACGATCCCAAAGTCGATGTGATGGTTCTTCATTCCCCCGCCGTTAGGTAGCGGTGGTCGCCGGGGCCTGCTGAACTCACCTGAGTGAGGAAGACCGAAACGCCCGCCTCCTCGTCGGGCGCCTGCGGGGCGTACGCCATATCGACGGTATACACGAACTCGCTGTGCACCTGCCGCCGTCCGACGAACGTTTGCGGGGTCGGTGCCGAGTTCGCGTCGAAGCCTGTCAGATTGAGCAGCGAGGGCCGCAGACGCAGCGTGTTTGGGTGCCCCGCCGGCGAGATCGTGTACGCCGCCGCGTCCGGGATCCGCCAGTGCGCAAAGTGGAGCGGCAGGGTCGACTTTGGCGCAAAGTCGATGCTGTCCGGCGCGGGGATGAAATCGCTGCACGAAGTCAATACGAAGTACCTTGAGGTACTCGTAGCGCTCACCCGGCTCCTCTGATATTCAGACGGAGGGGCAGGATTGGGCCGTCGATGATACCCGAGACGTTCCGGAATACTGGCCACTCGCCTTCAGCCCACGTCATATTGGTCAAGACTGTTTCGCGCCCCTGTAGGCAGAATGAAGGAGATAGAGACTTGACGCTTAATTACCCCTCACCATGGGATAGGATATATACTCCGGGCCAGAGCGCGTCGATAGCGCAACTCCCCACCTACAGCATAATTATAAATAATCAGAGTAAGCCACTAAAATGGAGAAAACATATACCAATCCCCGTGGCTGTCTTGGAAGACGTCTGCATGGCCCACGGTCTGGACTGCCCGGCATCAGTGAGCAACCACTACAGAACGCAGTGAAGGTCTACAATATGCCGACGTATTCGCGTTGGTCAAAAGCGGATTATGCGGTGCCGGGGTGAAGGGGCCGGTGATTTGCTTCGACCTCGCTGCAGTCACCATATGATTCAGACCGGTCCCACCTACAAGTTTCGCTTAAATACAACAATCATCCCGCGTTATGTTGCTCACCCTCTGCGATGATGAGGTAGTAGTACCCATCCTTAAGATGCATATGCGGGCCCTCTGGTGCCTTCGAACTGGAGTTAGAAACATTTCCAAGACCCAGTCAAGAGACCTACCAACCCACCCGTGCCGTTCCATATCGGCATCTGCTCCGTGGCTTCCCCCGTATCGAGATTGAGCTGCATCTGGTCGATATGTGGACTAAATCCACGTCCATCAAGCCGCCGTTTCTTTCGAATATAGAACGACACGTACCTAACTTGCCAGGGATGCGCGCCCTGGACGTACACCGTCCCGTCCTCGTGCCAGAACGGCGACGTATCGTATCCATCAAAGGAGAAGTGGACAGGGTCGGACCACGCGTCGGCTGCATACGGATTTTTGGTGCGGAAGATGATCTGCAGAAAATGTCGGTCACTGGGTTGTTGGGGATTGGAGATCAACATACATTATCCCAACGCGCCGTGTCGTTGATGGGCATTTTGTCGAAGACGAGCGTCGTAAGAATGAAGAACTCGCCGTCGTGGTAGCGGAGCGCCGGTGCCCAGATGCCGCTCGTGCCCCCCACTGCTCGACGTTGAACCCAGTTAGTTTGGAGAGAACAAGCCCATACCTGCGTCCGTAAGAGTTGGCAGCTGTTCTGGCCGCGAGAGCGCATTGCCTAGCCCGGCCGGTCAGCTTCTACGCACTTGAATCCATACCGTCTGCTCACCAATCAGTCTCCAGTTCTGCAGGTCCTGGCTTGCGTGGATAGGAATCCCCGGGAACGCGTTGAACGAGCTGGACGCGCAGAAGGTGTCATTCCATTCGGACAGAAAGATGCACGATGGGTCTGGCTGGAAGCCCGGGAGAATGGGGTTCTTGGGGCGCGCCGCGGCGGCGACAAGCGCGAAGAGACTGGTAGCGAGAAAGCAGCGCATGGAGGGATGCTGCGACGCGCCAACATCCAAATATACGCGAGGTATGTAGGTCATAAGGACATGCGAGCGGACCGCAATGTCGAAGAGAAAGGTCAGGCGGCCATTTTGTTGCTGGTTGAAATTTCAAAAAGTAATAATTCGCTTCCATGGGCATTTCTGAACTTTGCACATCCTCCTGGACGAAGAGATATCGAAGATGTATCAAAAAACGCACGATGAGCGTGAAAAGGGAACGGCAGGATGACCGTGGCGCAGGTGATGTTTGCCTTTGTGAGACACGGGCGGGTGGCTCCAGGCTCATGAACTATAAGGGGTGCTCAATTCTTAGTTCGAACTGGTCAGTTCGGATTTTAATTACAATAATTGTCAGCTGTAATCAGCCCATCAATCAAGCGCGTATCTCCGGTCGCTTCAACAAGCACACGCAAGCAAATCTTTAGACGCGTCTCCTACCTATTCTCCCCAATATCGACACTGATTTCACCTCACTCCCTTTTAATTCGAAAGCGATGGAGGCTGCCATAAGCTCTTGTGGCACATAGATGGTGTCCGATTGAACCCGAGCCTTAGGCGTCAGGTTGGCCCAATTGGGTAGCGACCTCGCGCTTGATTGATGGGCTGATCGCAACTGACAATTATTGTAATAAAAATCCGAACTGACCAGTTCGAACTAAGAATTGAGCCCTATAAGTATCACACAAAGTGTGGGAAATCTTATCACTCAATGTTGATGGTATTTTTGATGGGGGAAAAGTCAGTTTTCTCATTGAATCATTCGCAAAATACTAGAGCCTTAGTCTAGAGGTAGTAGTACGAGTCATCTACCTAGTCACACTTCGAGTCACTGTAGGCTTCCTGATGCCGCAGTAACTCTTCTACGTCCAACTACTGTCAGATCGGATCGTACTGATCTCTCTGACTGCGGATGATCTTCTCTCTGACTCGAGTGAGCGATTCTATTCGAGTCACTAATCAGTCCAATAGACCGGGATCACAAGGGCGCGGTGAGTAGAGTGTAGCCCGTATCACGCCCACCAAATGGAGACTAATCTACCCTCTTCTCAGAGTGTAGGACCGGTGGGAAATTAGTAGGACGACTAATCTCATAACGAAGAGTAGCATTAAGCGGGAGCAGGTTGCAGTTAAAGCTTGAGTTCAACCTGGGGCAGCCGGCCCGCGACAACCGGCGCCCGTTAACCAAACCGGCAACTAGGGCACCGCCGCACCGCCACTCGAAAATCTCACGTACAACACCAGAATGTTACGGAATCAGACAGAGTTTTTTGGGGAAAGAATCCAAGATAATAATTAGCGGTTGGCTGAGCTCTGTAAACGTTTGAGCTTTACACAGAGTCTGTAGCTGCTTATATACTAAATTGTTCAATGTAACTAGAATGTTCCATAATATTCTCCGTGTCATCACACTAACTCACACTCTGACTCGCACTGACTCCGTACGAGTCGTTACCTCGGCCATGATGCCAAGTTGCCTCTTGGAACTAACTCCAACACACGTACAACACCACTAACCCGTAACTTTTCGACCTAACCCTAACCTCGCGAGTCTCCTACAGTACGGCTCAAAATCCAAAATTCATTGTTTTGTTTGGTCCTTGTCTCTTGGGAAAGAGGTCGGGCTCAAGATCTCTTGAAGCCCATGCCTTACCCAAGCCCGGGCTTTCATTGAAGTTTCAATTCGGACCCGACCGGCAAAGAACACCGCGAACGTCACGGATCTCATCCCTTTCTCGCAGCTTCATTGGTTAAATTCTCAGTCATCCTGCACAGAGATCTTGGCTACTTACAGCATAGCCCCACGTGCTGGGACTTTCATTCCTCAGACAGCCATGCTCAGCCATCTAGCGCTCCGTTGAGGCCGCATCACGGAAAAATGCAAAATGCTTATATACCCCTCATATTTTTTCTACCGATTATTCAGTGTTGTACAATGGGTCTCACATCTCTCAAGCTCCTCCAGGGGACTCTGATTTTCCTAGCCTCCGTCCGCGCTGCGTACTCTACTAATATTCCGGTCGTCGACCTGGGTTATGCCCAATATCAAGGGGTTTTCGACGCAAACCTCAACATCACAAGTTTCCTGGGCATACGATATGCTGCCCCCCCAACCGGTAAGCCCACTGTTAACCCACCCAAGTCCGAAATTGAGCACTCCAAAGGGAATTTACGATGGCGCGCGCCGGCCCCGCCTGCCAAGGTCGGCGGGGTTCAACTCGCGTACAGTCAACCGCCTCAGTGCTACCAAGGAACGTTCGGAGCTTCTCTCACAAATCCCCTTGCCGCCCGAGACTTGGTCCAAACCGAAGATTGCTTATTCCTCAGGTTTGTATTTGATTTCCGTATGGAGGTCCCTGAGATTCCTTCAGTGTCTATTCCCCGGTTTTGAATTCTACCAAGCCTTTGCCGACAATTGTGTGGATCCACGGTGGAGGGTGAGCGCTCCGACTCGTATCGGGAGCCGTGTTTAATCCCTCTCCAGATATGTCTTCGGTGCGGCCAGCGGTTACAACGGCGCCGAGCTTGTTCAGGAATCGAACAGAGAAGTCGTCGTCGTTGTAC